CAGATCCGTGATGCATTAGCTGGTAGGGGACCTCTCCATGTATGTCTCCTCGCTCTCTGGTCTCTGTCAGTTTCTTATTCCATTTGGTGATTGGCTGAGTTCTTTATCTCTTCATTTGATGTTTAGGATTTCAGGATTGCTGTTTTCTCTGTTTGGCTTAGTTTTTCGGATCTTTGCTGTGGAGGGATGGCGTGGTGCTTCCGCCTAGAGTGCCATGTTGTTGGAAGTCCGTTTTTTTTTTTTTTTTTTTTTTGAGTGTGTGACAATTTCACATTGAAGTGACATCATTACTCTTTTATGAGTATTTTATTTCCTACTGTTCCTGACAAAAAAACAAATCACCATTCATTCTCCTAACCATGTATCTCCAAAATACTCAAAGTCCCAGAGTAAAATACATATATAAATATATCTGTCCTTACATAGAACACACACATACACCTGTGTGTGCTCATGTATGTAAGTGTACATATATTTGAGGATTTTATAACTTATTTTTCTTTTCTTATCAAGTAAAATTGCATATATCTGAAGATTATTTTAGGTTTGCACAAAACATGACATCTGTTGGATTCTAAGTTACATTTGACTTCATTTCTAATCTAATTATTTATGTTTCAAAAAGCTTTCATTTCACTCAAGTACAATTTCAGAGCTTCTGAATTCATTCATTCCCAAGTATAATAAAACAAATAATGACACATAGTTTAAAATTGAATGCAATATATTACTTCTACTGCCAGAATTGGTTATATTTTGCATATATGTAAATTAAGATGGGCCAGCCATGGTCCTAATATCTCCTGAAATTATGTTATTTAAGTACCTATATTTCAAGTGCAATAAAGATTACCTCATTTAGATATTCCTGCCTAATAAAGTAATAAATGTAATTTGTCCTTCTCTCCAATCTAGACTAACAATAGTTGAAATGAGGAACGGCTCCTGTGTCGTCTACGGCTCCAGCTTTAAAGGCTATACAGAAGACTGTTTAACTCCATATACTTACATCTGCATGCAGAGGATTGTGTAAAGTGCTTAAGATTTACAAATCATAAAGGGTGCAGAAGACACAGAAGCCATCCTTGCATGTTCTCTCTCTTCAATTTCCATGAAGAAAATTTCTATTAGAAGGTTCAACCAATGTTTATTGAATTGTCTATTCCTATGTGTCATCCCACAAAAGGTAACTTTGCAGGCAAAGAAGATTAACAGTTATAGAATTTATCTTCTATGACAGTGTTTTT